ATGTTAAAAGTCTTCTTGGGTTCTTTTACTAGTGATGTGGTTGCTTACATGTTTTTTTCTTTAGCCTGAATGCCATTCATCTTACAGCCTTCAAAACAGGGAAGCAGGTATTCAGGTCTTCCATATCACGTGACCCTCACTCCTCAGAATGGCTCCATATAGTTATATTTCTGTTTTATTTTCCTGTGGATGATTCAGTCCAACTCAATTCCAGTACATAATGCATGTGTGTGATATACAGTACTGGTGCATGGTGCTGCTGTTACAAAAATCACGATGAGGATGAGAGCTAGACAGCACTGGCAGTGTAGCAGGTACAAAGAAGCCTCCATCCCAGTGTCCTGGGAATAAAAGAAAAGGAAAAAAAAAAAAGAGAATGTAAGTGAGCCTTCTGCTCTGAAAGAACTCTCTCTAAATCAAGAGCTGTATCCTTGCTGTGCCCCAGCACTTCTATGGGTCAGAGTGCTTTTTGGTTCCCGTGATAAGTTAGCACTTCTTATGTTTTAAACACTTTTACCACAAGACATCACTATTCAGACTTCATTAATCATAGGAAAACAAAAGTCTCTTCTGAGTTTTCTAAGACTTAATAAGTGACCTGTATTGCTAACTTTGAGTGTAAATTTTTTTATTTTCTTAAGTGTCTGTGTTACACTCCTGAGATTGAAACCTGATACACCCCAGCTTTTCAAGAAAGCCAGTTCTTGACAACTCCTGCATTTAGAGCTTGAGATGTGTGAGAGTTTATATATAAAGTTGACAGTTTCTTCGATAGCTCAGGAGTTGTGTAAAAAGAGTAGTAATGCAAAGTAAATTTATACTTTTTTTCTTCTCTTTGTTTGCCAAAGTAAAACAGATTTTAATAGAGAACTGCTAAGAGCATCAGTATCTGCAAGGATAAAGTATCGAACGCTGTAGAGCCAGTGTAAAAGCTTTTGAATGGGGTGAAAGTCTCTCATCGATATATTACTTCAGACTCTTAGAAAATTGAATAATCTGAATTGTTCCCCAATAATGAGATTATTCATGAGGATGCAGGGGTTACATGGACTATCATTTTAATTAATGTAGTAAGATAGGTATGTGCCGTCCATGACCATGTGTGTCGTGTGTGCTATTAGCACTCAAAAGGTTTGAACCTTGTGCAGCTCTGTTATTATTTTAGATTAGACCTACACCCTTAAAGCTGAGCACAGAGTCTTATTTCTCAGTCCCTGTGCACATTTATAATAGGAGAGAACTTCTGTGACTCAAGAGGTGCTGGATCATTGCCATAGCAGAAACATCCCTGCATTCCTGGGTTTAAGTGTGTGTTGGAATATAATATCCCACAGGCCATTGGGGCTTTCTTATCAATTGTATTTAGATGAAATTACAGTAGCAATAGAATGAGCTGGTACACGCTCAGACCTTAATAGCTTTTAGAATTTGAGGGTCCCTAAAGCATTATGTATGTTACTGTATTCACAAGAGGCAGAGCTTTCTATCCTTCAAAAATATACTTTTTCTCAAAATTAAGAGCCAAAGAGCCTGTTGGAAAAGTTACAAAATGGTCTATTTTCTCTTGTTTGTAAAACAGATTCCCAACTGGAAGGGAAGTATCTTTACCCGAAACCGTGATAGGCCCCAAAATAGTGGGTTATGAAAAAGAGAAAACATTTCAGAACAATTCTTATATCCAGTCATTTGTCACTAACAGAAATCAGTGCATCTGTGGAGAAATGAAGCCCTTTGAGTACTCCTACCCAAAAACCTGGAATTTGGAAATATGTCAAAAAAGTAAACTATATATGCCTTCCCACTATTATCATTTGAGTGTTAAAATATTTATATAGAAGAGAGATGAACGTAGCAAATAAGTCTTACACAATAGCAAAGTAAATGTCTCTTCAGTGTAGCACAATTGTGAAATTGCTGCATAATAGTAAAAAGAAAAGATTCCGAATGATGGAGCAATATAAGGATATTATTAAAAAGATCTTGATCCAATTTTAGATGAATTTTTAGGTATCAAACAGTTTGTAGCTGCTGGTTTGGGTTTTTGCTAGCATTCCATATCTGATACTTTTATTGTGAATTAAAAGCTGCCATTGAAATATAACATGATGCAAACCAGTACTGATTAAAATATCATTTTTGCAGAAATATCACAAACCATACAAGTTTTCATCCATCAAAGAGAATAGCTGTAATAGTTGTGTAGAAATAAACCTTATCTCAGAATGACTGTTTTCAGAATTCTTAAGACATAAAACATATTTAGGTAATATTATTAATTTATTAGTGTGCAATTTCAATGTAATTCAGTGCCAAAATGCATGTTTTTCCATATAGCACTAAAATGAGGCAAAGAGTAGTTTTCAAATTGCAACTCATTTGTCACATAGTGTATACCAATTTCTATGTTTTCATTTGTTTCTTGTGAAAACTGTTGCACTATTTTTGGCTGTATTTTCCAGCAGTCCACTGCATGCCATTTGTGTAAGGATTCCTTCTATAATTCTTGTGAATTGTCTCACCCATAATAACCACTAAACTTTTAACCTTTGTGTGGGAATCTAGGTTTTTGGCAAAGTATTTCGTTACCTCAGTCTTGTATCAAGTTGCTGTATTTTTCAGCTTGTTACATTGATAATGATTGTTTCACTAATTAAATACTTTAACGTTAAAAAAAAAAAGTTTACTTTGACAGGAATTGTGCATTTGGTTGTAAATTTAAACATGAAAAAATGTGCAAAGTATGTATGCTGCTAAGAATAAAATACTTTGAAAAAGAATAGTAGAGATAAAGAAGGAACTTTTCAGTTCAAAGGCAGCAAGCATATTTTATTTGTGATTGAATGATGACACAGTTGAAGAACAGACTTTATAGCTGCATAATCTCTAACCATTTAATAATGTAGGTAAAACAGAATCAAAATTTGTAGTAGAAAACTGAAAAACTCCAGATCTGTAGTTCTTTCAAGTAGGACTTGGAAAGTCTGAAGAAGTAGAGGCAAACCCATTCTATTGCCTTCCAGAGAAATATGTTTAATGACTGGCAAACCTCCATGTTGACATGGATGTCACAGGAAATTTAGTCACACTTATTAAACTTTATGTAAGAACTTGGATTGTCATCTTCTGCACACTGAAATCAATCAGAAAAAATATTTCATCCATTACAAAAATCAGAGTGACATCATCTGCCCTACGTTAAACAGGACATCAGTGCAGCTCTTTATTATAATAGTTTCTGGTATTAAAATCTGAAATTTTCTTTCTGATTTCAGTGATGCCTCTCAGAGCCTTGAAACACTGAGCGCTGCTGATGGGGAGAGCCTAGCGATCAGGTGTTCATCAAAATTTTCTCTTGGGAAAGAATCAATATGGAATTGTTGGTCACTGTCTGGTTTTTTTTCCCCCCTCTTGCTATAAGTAGCATTTTTCCCCACTGGAGGTAAATAAGCTCCACAATATGAGTGGCAAAGTGGCTGCTCTAACTTCTGCAGCACCATAATTTTATGAGAAATTGCCTGAGGGATAAATGAGAAGTTATCTAATGTGAAGCTGAGAACAGAATAAGCTTGCATAGAAACAGCTGCTTTCAGTGCTGAGCAAGAAAGCACTTATCCCCCAGAAATGGGAGCTAAAACTTTGTTGTTGTTGTTGTTTTTATTACCTGTAGTCTTGGAAATTATTTGGATCAATAGAATTTGCCTGCAGGGCCAACAGTTTTTCATTATAAATATTTTATGCTCCTCCTGCAAAAATTGCAGACAAAGAATCGCTTAACTCAGAAGAAAGCATCAATGAGTGCCTCTTACATCTACCAAATGATAGTACCAGTTTTAGTGGGAGAAGGAAATTGATCAGAATTCTTCTCCCAATGGGCAACAGGCCAGAAAATAAAGCAAATGAGCATGTTAGGAAGGATGAGCAACACTCAGGATGGTCCATATTGTAAATATTATTGTTAAAGCAGCAAATGCCAGGGGAGAAAGGGGACTGTTTTCTACATTGCAGTATTTCACTACAGTGTCACATGCTTTTCTGATAAAACACAGTCGAAGATGAGTACCGAAGAGCTCATTAAATGCTCGTGATGAGCAAGCTTCTTGTTTTGTAATGTGGAAGAGAAAATAAAAGTGAAATTTTTAGTAAGTTTGTTCCTACTTTACATGTCAGGTTGTGCTAGGTATATAAGTCATGGCATGGATAAACTGTGTTTATTTTTGTTCTGAAATCAGTAATGTTTGTTGTAGTATTTCCATAGCTGTGATATATTATTATAATTTTTTTTTTAATCAGGTTCAGAAAGTATGCCAGATCTTTCCTTAGGGAGAAGCTGGTCAAAATTTACCTGCCTCAGTAGACTACCGAAGTGAGAACAAGACAGATTGGCATATTAGGAAAAATGAAAACACCCATTTTACGTCAACTCAAACACACTTGTCCATGAGAAAATACAGATAGTAATGAATTGGAGGAAGTATTCATTATACTTCTGGACTCTGCCTGTAGTCAGGCACTTCCTGCCAGAAATCAGCTTTTCAGCTTTAAGGAAGAGTAGACTGGGTTCCAGATAATCATCCGTGCTTCGGGTTTGAAAACATGATGTTAGTGAACATAAAACTAGCAGGCAAGGTCAGAAGACAAATATGTTCATTCTAGTATCTGTATAGAAAAAAAGTCTATTAATTCCTGAAGAATAAAATAGTAGACACAAGCAGGTAGATAAATTATTTTACGTAATATTTATTGCTTGATAGCGCACCCTTAATAAAATGAGAAGGGTCGTTTTTGAATGCATGGAAACACCCTGGAAACACTAGCAGTTAGTTGTAGCAAACCAGTTAGGATTTCCTGTAGTAGAACAAAACTTCACCCGGAATTGTTTGCTGCAAACGAATGCAATGCAAATGTGCCTTGTCTTTTAGACAATGGTGTCACTCATTGGACAGAGAGAAATAAAAAACAAAGAGCAAGGGAAGGGACAGCTAGCTGGTGCAGAAATTAGTAGGTGAAGGGGAAACGGGAGAGTCACAAAACGTTACTTCCTTTTAGATAATGTGTCCTCTCTGCTGCTTTCAAGTACAGCAAGTACTTACAGGAAGTCCAACTACTTCTGCCAGCTCCGATTAGCAGTACAATTGTTTTAATCACACCAACAAACATGTATCACTGGGGGGGAGCGGGAGGGAAGCCACCGCAGTTTTATTTCACATACTAGCCTCAGAAAGGATACACTTACGATTGCTGAAGGGACTTGACTTTCAGATCCTGAGGATGAATGCCAGTCTGTAGCAGAGGAAAAACAAGTTTTAGCACAAATACTGAGATATGTGGAAGTTATATCAAGTTACTTATTTAATAAAAGGGGAGGGGCTTCAGCATTTTTCAGGTTATTGTGTGCAGCTGAGCACCTTTTCTGTTGTATCAGTTAATATAGCACACTGTCTTAAATAAATTGTTTTTTTTTCCCCCTATGGAAGCATCTCACATAATGAACATCCCCATGACCAGAGTTTTCTAGGTACTACAACACCAACAAGGATGTTCACGCTAGATGTAGTTCAGATGTGAAATTAATTTTTAAAGAACTAACATGAGATGATAAATACAGTAAAGTAAGATGTGATTAAATGCCACTTTCAGCAGATAATTTTGCTTCTGGAGCAGTCACCACAAAGAGAAGGATGGTGGTTACAGACCTCTAACAAAGAAGTTGAGCAGATTCCTACAGTTGTTTTGAATTTGTATCATGGGGACAACGTAGTTGTCTTCCACAGGATTAGAAACAGAAACTCACCAGTATTTATGAAAACCCTACAACTACCTGAGGACCTGCTCTCAGCACAGCACAACCTGACCTGAAGCTGCTCTAGGCCCTCCTTTTGTCCTAATAGCTGTCCTGACTGCGTGCTCACGTAGCCTCCTGTGGGTGGGCACTGTCTCCAGAGGTGCAAAGGGCTACGAATTCAAGGGGTTAATTATATTCAATTAGCAGTAAGGTAGGAAACGTTAAGACAATACCTAGCTGAGCGGTGAATGTGCTGATTTACAGCTAGCAGAAGCATCTGTGAACCACAGGTGGCCCCCTCAGTTCCTTAGACATCCTTGGGAACACGCTGCCTCAGTCTTGCTGCCCTCTGTTGCTCCAAGGAATCAAAGAAAGGGGGAGGTTGTATCATGTTAGTGCTACCAACTTCTGTACCAGCTCCTGACTAGCACCTGTTGTATGGCCAGAGCAGGTTTGTTTCAGTCAAGTGTTTCACTTTTTTGTCTAGAAAGCCTGAGGGCAGCACAGCACACTGACATGGTAACAGGTAAGAAGCAAAAAAAAAAAAAAAAAAATATATATATATACACACACACACACACATATACATATATATATATAGATAGATAGATAGATGCTAAGGTGGTGTATGTGTGCTCCAGAGCAAAGCTAGATGACAGCTGGGTAAGCAGAGGCTCTCAGCTAAGTCTTAAGATCACTGTATAGCCTGGGATCATCCTGATGGTGGCTGGAACCAGCATGCTGGTATCTTGTTACTTCCCTGCAGCTATGTGAGCTTGCTCAGCTTCTGTTTCAGTGGGGACAGATGTGCATTCACTGTAATCCCTTAGCTCTATGATACAAGCCATCTAGGTGGAGTTGTTTGCACGCTGTTCTCTTTTTGCTAATTCTTTTGTGTCCAACATGTTGTTTTAGTAACTAGAGAATATTAGGGTTAGGCTTCTGTCAATTGTAGTCTGATAAATGCTTGTGACTTTATCCATGTCTCTCAAGAGATTTATTTAATATTTGCTCTTAGCTGGACTTCCGATGATGGCTGTTTCCCTAGGTGTTTTCATTTCTGTTTAATCATTACAACTTAGAGAGGCTAGCATTTGTACTTACTTTTTTGCTGTCTCATTTTGCTTCATTTTAGAGCTAAGGGGGAAAAAACTATTTGCTTGACTCTATTTCTTTTCCCTAACGTTCAGCAAGTGTGATGCTATATAGATTTAGCTTTATTTTTAACATGAGTGTTTTTTTTTTTTTTAACCCAAGATGTTGGTGTCAAAATATGGCAAAGTGGTAGTGCAATTATTGACTCATTAAATTTGAGGAACCTGGTGAGTTTTCAGATGGAGACAACCATACATGGAACATCACTGAAGTCCTGTTGTGTTTCTTTAAAAAAAAAAAAAATGTTGATGAAGTCCTGTAGGCATTTTTAGAATGTGAGCCGTAGCAGTGTCCAGGTGAGGTGCAAGCACGGTGCAGTCTGAGAGCCTGCCTTCGGCAGCGACTCACCTCTGGTGCCTTGTTAGAAGCTGCAAGAAATTCTGTACCTGCCATTACAGACTATTCAGACCGCAAGATAATTCTTTCTTATCCTGTTATCTAGTGCCCAATTGAAGCTTTGCAGAACATTGAAGAGGATTTTGTCATTGTTTATCTTTGTTACATAAATTATTAATAAAAGTCTAATTCTTAATCTCAAAGATATTTTATGGTCAGTAGGTATGTAAATCTTTGTAATGGTAGCAGCAGTTTTAAATAATGTATAACATCACTCAAAGATGATTTGGGTGCTACATCAAAAAGCAATTGGACAAAAACAACCAGAAATATAGGCCCAGAAACAGGGCAAAGCTGTAAATGAGGTAAGAATGTACTGTACAAGCAAAGCATCTGTGGGTATGTGCATGTTTGCTGGTCAGCTTTGCTTGACCTCTTTAACAGCCCTATATCTGTCCATATTTAAAAGTATTAGGAACATGTCTACATTGGGAGACAAGCACGTGCAAGTTACAATTCCGACATAGATATGTATTGTATTGTTCTCTGGCTAGACACATCCACGCTGTGAGTCTTAACATATCCTAGATTAGAGTTACTTTTTCAATTTTTTGTATATTTGTATGGGTACTTACATATATACACACACATAATATATATTTTTCTATATAAATATATATGTCTGTGTATGTGTGTATATGTGTATACTACTAGTTGCAATTATTTTAAGTCTCTAGGGTGATGGCCTGCTAATGCAATATTTTGTTCCTTAAATGTTTGTGGAAGGGGAGTGGGAACACACCCAGATACTGGACACAATTTATGGGTAGGTTCACCCCCAGCTATCAACCTTGGCATGCACTATGAAGACACGTCCCCTGAAGGATGTGAAAATAACAATTACCACCGTGGAAATATGTGATGATTATGTTTGAGTTGAAAACTTTTCTGCATTTGCTGAATTTCTCCTTACTTTAAAATGAGGAAGGGGGATATGAGAGAAGAAAGAGGGGTAGGGCTTTTGGGGAGTTTTTTTGCGGGGGGTGGGGGGGTTCGGGGGTTCCTACTCCAGTTATTATTTTCTATCTCTCTCTCACGGGCTTTTTTTTTTTTTTTTTTTGGCCTATGCGTCAAGGTAAATGGGCCAAGTGATTCCTTTGTGTCTTTATGTGGAAGTATCTCCAGTCCTTTAGTCTCCCTTGTTGCCAGTCTTTGAACCTCACTGTTTCTCTCCTACTAGGCAGAATAAGCAGAGATGATCAGTGACCTTCCTGTTTCCAATCAAACACTGGAAACTTGTCATGTTACAGTATATTTCAGGGTGATTTTTTACTATATTCAAACATTCCTCTCTTTCGAGTTAACAAACAGTTAACGTAGCCACCAAGGAAAGCTGTGCCAGGGAAGAGGGACACGTTGGTGCTGAAGTCCAGTTTGCAATGGACTGTTTTCTCATTCTTTCTGCCAGTTATTTACAGAGTCACAAGTGACCAGACCAAGAGCCACATCTTTTACTGACTTTCATGCTTCCTTTGGCTTAGTAATCTCCTGACATCACAACAGAGCTGTGGAAGAGACCTCCTAGAATGGAGATTTCTCTGGATAAAGTGAAAATGAAAGGTAAGCAAAGAAGTTGGGGGGTCACCTCTATTTATGAAGCAACATATTTCCTTCAGAAAAGGAGAGAAGGACCCTGGGCATGAGCATAACTCATCTGGAAAATTGCTGCACCCAAGATGAGTTGATGCAGCTCTGCTGTTGCGGTACGGTTTCAAGAAAATAAGCGTGAAGTCTTAAGGGTGGAAGACTTCTAATCCTTTTTTGGTTTGTTGATGGCTGTTTGTGGGGTTTTTTTGTTTATTTGTTTGTTTTTGAAGTAACTGGTCTATATAAAGAGCATATATAGATGAGTTATGGTACCTCAGCTAGAAAAGGAAGTACCTCTTAGAGCCATTCTGACAGGGCTCTGACCAGCCTCTCCTGGGGCCACCATCCACACCCCTGCCCATGGGCCCAGGAGCCCATTTAAGCACAGCCCCGGGCCTCGGTCCCTGCCCGAGTGGTGCCACAGGTGTGCTGGTCTGTACCTCGGCTATAGCCATGCCTGCACCGGGCCATACAGTCACCAGACCCGAGCCTGACCTGCGGCTCAGCTTCCCAGCATGACCTTGGACCTGCCTCATCACCGCTGACTTGCCTGATGACTCTTGGTTGAACACGGCTACAATTTCTGGGCCTGCCCTGCACCCTCACACAGCTGTGGTGGGGCTGGGCCCTCAGTGGCCAGGCCCCTGCCCTGCCGGATGGTCATCCCATCCCTTCGGGAGCAGCCAGCCCTCCCTGCTCCCTGATGTGTGCCTTATGATTGGCTGTGCCCTGGTCTGAGAAACGGGAGAAATTAGGATCTGCTGTTCAGAAGTAAAAAGTGACGAGAAGGGAAGCAGAAAGATGTGTTTCCCCTAGCAAACATATTAACTTTCTTTGAATTGCAGAGTGGCATAGGATGATTCTGCAAGAATAGATGTGTTGTGAGATAGAAAGAGGGAAGAGTAGGCTTCTGTTGTGTACCGGAAGAAAAAGCAATGACAGAATGGTGATGAACTGAAGATGTTGCTTAACTATCTGAAACAGGTTTTGTAGCAAGAAAATCATACTTTCTGTTTAATAGAAGTCAAAAGCAAGATGCGCAAGAAGTGCAAGATGGTTTAAAAAAAAAAAATCAGGGATGCTAAGATAGTGCCATTTTGTTTCCTTTTGACTTATGCAGGCACAAATGATGGAAGTGGGGGAATTAATAAAATACTGATTATTAGGACAACACAGTTGGCAGCCAAATTTGACTGACAAAATTCTGTTAAATATGAATCTTTCTTGTGCACAGAAAGGATGCAGACCTCTAATTAAAATTATCTTAGTGCAGACTTCTTCGGTTCTAGCATAAAAACCATGACAGACTTGACCAGAAGTCAAGCACTTCCCTGGAGGTTCTGCAGGAGGTGCTGTGTGCGCCCCACAGCCCTCAGTGCTCCTAACTGCAGTCACCTGGCTGAACGCGGTCAGGAAGTCTGAGAAGACTACAGTGCTCTTAGAGGGGATCCCTCCTGACATTAGTCTACTGAGTATTATAAATAGTATTACAGACAAATGTAGTATTAGTCAGTCTAAACCTCAAAACAAAGCAAACAAACAAACAACCTCACCTAAAGCTCTTATAATCTTCAAGTTTAGTGACAGCACTCAAACAGAAAGAAAAAGACTGTTGTTATCTCTTAGTCTGGTTTTGAAGGCTTTGTTTTTGGTAAATGAGAAGATCACACAGCATGATAGTTTCTTAGTGACATTTGTCTCTCATACTGCTGAGCAGTTGCAACAAGCTCCATACGGGGAAGTTGTTATTGCATTGCTAATTAAAGTCTTGCAGTGCTAACTAAAGCAGATGAAGGTCCACTGCCTTTCCAAGAATTAGCAAGTTGCTTCTCTCAGCTCACATATAGAGGCTTGCACAGACTAACAACTTCAAAAGCTGGCCTATTCTAGTCTGTGCGTCCAGGGCCTGAACAATCTCTTGGACTAGAAGGAACCTTCAGCCCTACTGAGTGTTGAGTAGCTGCACGTACGGCAGCCACTCCTTCTGTACAGGCTTATCTCTCAGGAGCTCTCAATAGCTAAGTTATGGCATACCAGTTTCATAACAATACCTGTATGTATAGCAATAGCATTCAAATACAATAAATGAGTTATTGGAAGCCTTCTCTGAGCTTTTACAAGCTTTTTAAATAGAAGGTGTGATCCAAGTGAGAGCATAAGAACTGCTTTATGAGAGGAGTCAGCTGGCAGTTGCTTTTCTGTGTTGTAGTTTACGTCAGTTTGAGGAGTGTTAATAAGAGATAAGCAAGTCAGAAAAGGCTATGTTTATTACATTTTTCCTCCAAAAAAGCTGACTTATTTTCATATAACGAAAGTGAAGTACAAATTCAGACTCCTTTTGAAAACAAGTCCAATAAACACTTTATAAATAAGGCTATTAATGTATTTTAGAATTCTAGGAATTTTAACATACCTGTTTAACATACCTATTTGAAAACATTGACTTAGAGGAGGTTCAGCTGATGAAGTGTGCTGTTAAAAAGCATCAAAATTTCGCATACTGAACGGAGCCAAGTAAAGTGGTAAAGGGAAGTGGATGTTAGTTGTGTAATAATCTGTTTTGCTTAGCATCGAAGTTGTTAATGGGTTCCTGAGGCTAACTTCATTCTTACTGATGTTTTCTTTTACTTAAAAAAAAAAAAAATGTGTATGAGCATTGTTAACGATATCATTGCTTGGAGACTTTTTACCTAATGGGCACGTATGACAACCACAGTAACACAACTAGCCTAACTTCAGGCAGGAGCAGCCTGATCACCTATCATTTTCCGAGTTAATGACTATTTGAGAGACTGAGATGTTTTAAAGATATAAGTGTGATTTGGAGAATGTGCAATTTAATTAAATTGATAAAGTTGTTCATCTGAGAAAATGGCAGAGCAGAAAGTAAATTGATTTGCAGTACAGGAAGTTAACCAAGTCACCGGATTTCCCATAGACGGTCTAAAGTACTAGTATAATTGCAGAGGAAGCAGATGTTGAGGAGACAAGCGAGGCTGCAAAGGTCTCCCCTTTCAAAGGGAGCAAGAGACAGAACTCAGGTTGAAGCAGTGGAAAGCATGAAGTGCTGGACAGACTTTGAACTGTGAGTAGTAATACTGTCTGCTGTGTTCAGGAAAGCATGATTTCGTGCGTTCTCGAGAAGTATTTAGACTGCACCTAACAAACATGGATTCCACTAGCGATTATTTTCTCCCCAACCGCAAAATGCTGAGCTTTTGGCTAATTGGACAAGGCAAAATGGGTGACAGCGCTTTATAAAGCGCCATAACACAGCTATTAAAAGCAAGATCTTACTGTTTTGTGTAAAGAAGTTTCTCGAACTCTGTTGATATAACATACGTTACAGTAAAACGTTGTCTTTCGATTTCTTCTCTGTATTGCTAGTGGCATTACTCTAAATAGGCAGAGGAGGTCCAGAGTCGCTAACCTATTTTAAAAGCTCCTCTTTTAAGCAGAAGGGATATTTTTCAGCTTCTGATCACACAAAATATTTTTTTCAATAGCTAAAGAAGTCTGTAGTGATACCAGTCATGGTGAAAGAGTGGTCATTTGCCCAACATTAGAATGTCACCTTTTATGAAGTGAGGCTTTGCCAACATATGTTTGTTTGAAGAAAGGACAGTACAAAGCATGGCAATACGTGTCTCTTAATGAGTACGTGTGCAGAATCCTTTTTCAGAATGGCAATGGCTATTTATGTTCAGAAATGACTGCTCTGGTAACAGCCAAGATACAGCTTTTCTTTTCTTCTTTTTTTGATAATCCCGCTCCAGCTAGAAAAGAGGACCTTTTAGTCACCTAGTTAGTGGACACCAGCTAAAGTGTGCAACCTGTGGATTCTGAAAGAGATGGCACCATCTCGAACTCAAACTTATATTTCATATTTAGGAATTGATGCCATCTATTCCTTGAAAAATGTATATATTAACTAATCTCCCTGGGATCAGCTCAAGATAAAAGATAGAAATGTGATCAGAGTTGATAACCACTGGAGCTTTCCAGAAATTCTTTAAACAATTCTGTGAGGGTCAAACAACAGGTTATTTAAAGAGTTGATATGTATCTCTAAGCATTGCTCTATTTTTATAGCCGCCTTTATATAAAAGAAGTGAATTGTTTTTTTTCTTATCCTGATCCATAAAATTACATTCACAATCACTGTTCGTGCCCTAGCAGGCCATAGGTTTATAATAGGATTGCTAATCTACTTTGTCCCAGATCAAGTGCATGATTATGCTTTTGACGTGCTAAAACTACTCAATTAAAGTGGCAGAACAACTGTTTCTGTTCCAGTAGGCCTATTGGCCTAAAAAATAGGCTATTAGGATGAACTTGCATTGCCTGAATTGTGTAATGTATTCAAACAAAATTTCTGAAGAGAAACTATACCAAAGCAGTTTGTTTGCACCTGATTAAAAATAGATGACAGACTATGTTTTAGACTAGAAGATATGAAATGCAGGGGAATGTGTAAGTGGACTTCCTGCTTTGTGTAACTCAGGCATTAAAATGGCAACTTCTGTGCATAGGAATGTGGCGGGATTTCTCTATCTCGCTCTCTCTGTCTCTTCCACCCCCCACCCCCAAATGGTTAGAAAATAGTGATGTTCCAACAGGGAGAGGGGGTAAATGAGAGTACTTGCCATAAGTGGATTTTGCCATGAGGTTTCTATTGCAGAAACTGACTAACAGTTTGCTAGTATTTCTTAAATATTAAAAATGCAGTTTTCATGTAAACTTCCCAAGCCCAATTTAACACGAATTTTTAAGGCATAGAGCTGCCTGGAGTGTAAGACTGACATTTGAGAACAAATTTTACCAGAAGTGTATAATTTTTTTGCTAAGCACCTATATCCAAAAAACTGGACCCTGTATTTCTGTAAATGAGCAGAATAGACATTAATGATGAGAAACTTTACCAGTGCTTTTTTTTCATCTTACCTTTTAGTAAATTTGTCCAGTCTCTTATGCAGTAAGTCATCCCTCCAGAACAGTAACAAAAGTTTTTATCTAGATTCTCTAATGTGCTATACCTTCCTCAGTCACTTTGTTGTTCTTTTGGGTGGGAAGAGAAGAATGGGACCCATAAACTACTCTGCTTTTACAACTTAATGGAAGTTCCTGACCTCTGTCTCTTTAATTCCTCTCCACCTTCAGACCCACTTCAATCTCTGCAAAAAGTTCTCTTGACTTCTTCCAAGAGAGTGCCAAATCCCCACCTCCAAAGTATATTTATATATTTTTTTTAAAAAAGGAAAATAAAAGCAATTCTGAGTATAAAAAAAACTTATTTTATTCTATTTTCTAGGCCACAGAAATGAAAAATAACAGCTGAGCAACATCTTGGGTTTGCTAATTACACCAGGTAGCAGTGTTTTCATCATGTTCTTCAAACCTCAAACTCTGAAGTCAGTGTAGAGTTGTAACCATTGCAATTTTGTGAGTAATTAGACAGCAGTTATTATTCAATTGGGATTGAATGCATACAGAAGAGGACAGAACAGCTACAAATGATACAGACTCTTAACAGTAAATTTTTGTGATGTGTTGTTGTGATGTGTTGTTGTGACATGTAACGTTTTATCATGCCATTATGGCCACCCATAGCAGAGCTTAGTTTAATTTGGTTTTAATTTGCCTTCCATCTGCTCGATGGCTTTAGCATGTCTAAATATCAAGCTGTACTTTTATTGAAAATCTTCATGTTGTAGTCCGATACAGTCTGTAGTCTGTAGACCTTATTCAGAGAACTTGAATTTTCCATGGCAAGGTTAAAAGGTTCAGTTGTGCATGTGGATTAATTGAATGGTCCCACTATTCACATGAAGTCCTGCGTAAATCAACTGCCAATTTAAAACAGTGATCTAAGACTTCATATTTAGTGGTAAAATCAATTTATATTTAAAGTAATATCAGCCATTTAAACAAGAGAAAAGATCATTCTTTCCAAACCTCTTTTTCTAAGTGATGTTGAATACAGTTCAATGCAAAGCATTTCTTTTCTTTTTTTTTTTTTTTTGGTAAATGATTAAAAGTGTGCTTTTTTATTCTTTGTTTTAGAGAAAGTGAGTGGAAGATTGAGTGGAAGATTGAGTGTACAAGAGTGTGTTAAGTTTCAAGTTGTGCTGTTCAACGATGATGCACTGTGGAAAAAGACACATTTGTGCTGTTGTTGCATGTCTCCTTATATTTGCAAGCATTTTAATCTGCTCCAGGAAAGGTACTCAGCTACAGAACATTATAACTAGAAAAATCTTCCCCCAGGCAAGAACTGTCAGTCCAGAAAGTCAGCTTTGTAGAGGAAAACCTGCTCAAAATGTAATAACACCGTTAAAAGATAACAGAACGTTTATCATTGCCCCGTACTTTGATGACAGAGAAAGCAAAGTCACCCGTGTGATTGGGATTGTTCACCATGAAGATGTAAAAGAACTTTACTGCTGGTTCTGCTGTCAGCCTCAGGGAAAGATATATGTGTCAAAATCACAAATTGAGGTTCACTCAGATAGATTTGGATTCCCTTATGGTGCAGCAGACATAGTTTGCTTGGAACCCCAAAACTGCGATCCGACGCATGTATCGGTTCATTGGTCCCCCCATGGAAATATTGATCAGCTGCCAAGGTTTGAAATTAAAAACCGCAAGGCCGAGACCTTTTCTGTTGACTTCACTGTATGCATCTCTGCCATGTTTGGAAATTACAACAATGTCTTACAGTTTATACAGAGTATGGAGATGTATAAGATTCTTGGGGTACAGAAAGTGGTGGTCTATAAGAACAGCTGCAGCCAGCTGATGGAGAAAGTCTTGAAGTTCTATGTGGAAGAAGGGACCGTAGAAATAATTCCCTGGCCAATAAATTCACACCTCAAGGTTTCTTCTAAATGGCACTTTTCTATGGATCCCAAAGATATTGGCTACTATGGCCAAATCACAGCACTAAATGACTGTGTATATCGTAACATGCAGAGGAGCAAGTTTGTGGTTCTTAATGATGCTGATGAAATAATTCTTCCCCTTAAGCACCCAGACTGGAAAACAATGATGAGCAGTCTTCAGGAACAAAACCCAGGGACTGGCATTTTCCTCTTTGAGAATCATATCTTCCCTGAAACCGTATCTACCCATATGTTCAACATTTCATCCTGGAATACCGTGCCAGGTATTAACATACTGCAGCATGTTCATAGAGAGCCTGACAGGAAAGAGGTTTTTAATCCCAGAAAAATGATAATTGATCCAAGAAAAGTGATTCAGACTTCAGTCCACTCTGTCCTGCGTGGTTATGGGAAGAGTGTGAGTGTTCCTGTGGATGTTGCCCTTATTTATCACTGTCGGGTGCCCCTCCAAGGAAACCTTCCCCGAGAGTCCCTCATCAGGGATACCACACTGTGGCGATATAACTCATCATTAATCATGAATGTTAACAAAGTGCTGCATCAAACAGTACTGGAAGCTCAACAGTGAAACCTGGGTTATAAGGCGGGAAAGTGGAGAGCTGCCCACATCCTCAGGGAGCAGAGGATATCACTTAAAAGTTCACACTGGAAATGCTTCCAGATGAAGATTTTTGTAAAGCTTTGGGGGAAACATTCCTTTTACGTACTGTATAAAGGTAAATGCATTTTATCTGTGACCTGAAACAAGGGGCCTAAAGGTGAAGATAATTTCAAAACTAAAAAACTGTGTTTGATCCCAGGAAGGCAATTCAGTCCTCAGTCCCCTGACCATAGAGGGGTCTGGAGAACTTTGGGAGGAGCCCGATGACACTGTTACATGTCATTGCAGGAAATCTTATAAATTAAATTTTTTGAACACAGGGATTCATTGCTTTGGAAATATAATATATATCTTTAGTTACAAAAGTTAAGTGTTGGGGAAGCTAATATTTTAAGTGCAGCAGAGAAACTAAAAGAGGCATTGCAATACGTATTTAATGGAATGTTCTCCACAACAATACACTTTTAGGCTCATCTATTGCTCGTAGGAGGCAAAGCTCAAATGGCAATCACCATTAGAAAAGATCTCACCAAGAATGTTCATAGAACTCAAGAGTTACAAACTGGACGTTATCGCATCAATGCCTGTGTTAGCAGTTGCTGTCTCTAAGAGCGAAAGCTTGGACATTAAAACTTATAAGGTAAAAGTACTGGTGTGAATGATGGGCTTGTGTGATCATGTAATTATCAGAGTTTCTTTTACTATTTTTCATTGATTTGCTGTTTGAAAATATAATGGCTCCTTTGTGTGTCTCTATTCTGCATGAAGTTAATGAGCTGAGCAGACAACGCGGCGGTCCAGCCCGGGGCCCCCGCAGACAGCGGACGCTCGCGGCTCTCCGCGGCTCGGTGCCGGGGGCGGTGCCGGCGGAGCCGCG